GACATTTGAAATATAATAACGGGAGTTGGGGTCACGGTGGAGAATACATCAATACATCGTCTAATAATACGTGCACACGCATCATAGTATCTGCTGAAGCAATAGCCTTCCCAACCATTTGAACAGCAATAATCTTTTAGGACGATGTTGAAAAGTTGAAAAGTCTGCAGTGGAGAGGTGTGTTCAAAACGTGAAGAATGGTGTGAGAGCTTTGCTTTGGAATAACCTCATTTACACATATACAATTAGTTGTATTGGAGTTTTCATTTTCACTGAGATATCCTCAAGATCCTACCGACCCAGTCTATCGACGCCTTGCTATTTCTTTTTTTCGAACCTGGGTAATTAATTCAAAAGATCATACAATTAACTTGATTTACGTCAAAATCTGTTTTTTTTTTATTTTTATTTATTCAGAAGAGATAACCCTGGAAGATACGAGGTTTTCAATCAATCAATCAAACCTTCAAAACTCACATACGGCTGGATATGAATACATCTGCAAAACAATCATTGCTGATTTAATTGTTTTCTATACGCTACGATAGAAACAGAAGTTTGAGTACGAGTAATATTATATCATACAAGTCTCTCATAGCCCTACTAAGAGCACAGTCCATCTATAATAGAGACTGTGGTAAAAGGCAGCACGAGGCTATACACATGGCAGTTAACTTTAGGGCGCTGTTCGAAATATACTACCGGTCACCGGTAGTACCACTCTCCCTTGCAGAATCTACTTGACCTAGGGAGCTACAGAGACTAGTGGGACGTTCCCTGGCGACTACCTAGCTTAGTGATAAAAGACCCATAGTCTCGGCGACGGAGAATGCGGTAGTACGGATTATGAATGTTCCATTGCCGGCTTACGTAGAGCCCACGATGGGAAACGTTACATCAACATTTTAGAGTAAAACAAATCTGGAATTCAAAAAGTTAAGGCAACTGTGTTTAACTGACAGTAACAATATCACTAAATCCTCGCTCCCGACTTACTGTTTCTGTTTTTCATATGCATACAAGTAATGTTACTTCATATGCAAGGGGTTAGCATACGTTTAATGTGTTTTTTTTTCAATATTTTTTTTTTAATTTTAAATTATTGATGGTTATGACAGTATCTATGACTGTGCTTTTATTCTAAACAAAAACTACATTTTATAAGGCATATTTCGACGTTTTTTTCTATTTCAAAACATTGCCACGTGTGATTGTTTATAAACACCACCAACACAAGCACAACACTCGCATGAAAGTAATCCTAATTGACACTTGATGAAAGATCCGATTTGCATATCAATACTAGCAAGGTTATGTAATTACGGTACTCATTTCGCCCAGCCTTCCGCTTTTACACCCACAGCTTATTGCTTGATTTCCGACCGCGCGGTCTTGTCCGACCGGAAACCGACAGCATTTTAATCGCTCTTTTTTTCGCTCGCTCGCTCATTGAAAACATTGACTGCTCGCCAAAACACTGATCACACATAAGTAGTCGAAAGTGGTTTTTCAAATCTAATAGTTGCATGACACTCAATC